ACTATGTTGCCCTCGGTAGAGTGCTCTGGCCTCATAGCTCACAGCAACCTCAAACTCTTGGGCTTAAGCGATTCTCTTGCCTCAGCCTCCCAAGTAGCTGGAACTACAGGAGTCCGCCATAACACTGGCTAGTTTTTGTTGTTGTTGTTGTTGCAGCTGTTATTGTTGGTTTAGCTGGGTCAGGCTGGGTTCGAACCTGCCAGCCTCAGTGTATGTGGCCAGCGCCCTACCCACTGAATTATGGGTGCTGCCCCCAACCCTCTTTCTTCTCTCCCTAGGGACCTCATTCCTTCCCTGACTTCAGTATACCCATAGTTTGCAAATGTCTCTTCTAATTATCCATTCTGCCACCTTCTTAGACATCTGTCCCTATAGAGGTCACATTTTCCAAACTGAACTCATCATTTCCCCTCCAAACCTGATCGTTCACTCAATATACTTTTTTTTTTGAGACAGAATTTCACTTATTAACCCTCAGTAGAGTGCTGTCAAGTCACAGCTCACAGCAACCTCCAACTCCTGGGCTTAGGTGATTCTCCTGCCTTACCCTCCCGAGTAGCTGGGACTACACCACAATGCCTTACCCTCCCAAGTAGCTGGGACTACACCACAATGCCAGGCTATTTTTGTTGTTGTTGTTGCAGTTTGGCCGAGGCTGCGTTTGAACCCACCACACTCAGTATATGGGGCCAGCGCCCTACTCACTGAACCACAGGCGCCACCCCACTCAATACACTTTTTGAGCACCTGTATTATGCTGGGACTACAATAACACATATAAACTCATACACACACATGTATATATATTAAGGTGACCAGATTTTAACATTAGTAAAGCGGGACACCACTGGGGACGGGGCCTGGGGGGGCAGGGCCTGACAACAATGCAAACTTTGATAAGCAGTTCTCCATAATCAGTTCTCAACAATTATTTGTTATTATTAAAGTTTAACATTATAAAATTAACAAAAATAATATAAAACTCATATCCTGGCAAAATAGCCACATGGCAGCCGAAAACCGTATGTTCCCTTCCTGTTCTCCCACCATTCCCTAGCTTGTCGTGCATTCTTTCCAAAAATTGGGACTTTTTTAAAATGCCGCGGGATGTGGGACAAATTCTTAAAAATCGGGACTATCCCACCAAAAGCAGGACATCTGGTCTGGTCACCTTAATATATATATGTACAAAATAGCTCTGGAAAAATACATTTAAAAGTGATGGGGGTTCAGTGCCTGTGGCTTAAGCAGCTAAAGCTCCAGCCACATACACCTGAGCTGGCAGGTTTGAATCCAGCCTGGGCCTGCCAAACAACAATGACAGCTGCAACCAAAAAAACAACCGGGCATTGTGGCAGGTGCCTACATTCCCAGCTGCTTGGGAGGCAGAGGCAGGAGACTTGCTTGAGCCCCGGAGTTGGTGGTTGCTGTGAGCTGTGATGCCATAGTACTCTACCCAGGGGGA